GTTCGACGCCGACACGCATGCGCCACGCTAGTTTCGGTCCGGATTCAAGAATCCAGGAAGCCAGCTGTGCGTGGTTGGCAAACTGTTCGCGCCTCGCCATCGTTCCCTTTCCCCCCTGCGTCTTCTTCATGTGTTCCTTCCCACGGTTGAAACAGCCACTGCTTCAGCCTCTCCCAGCTTGACCTTCCCCCTGCAGTGTTGTTGTTTTGCAACCCCTCCGTCACGTGTCTTTGCTCGTCGACCACCCTAGTGAGCCCCGTCCTCATGCCTGAGTCAGGCGACGTGGGATTGGACGACGATGCCGACGACAGCGGCAGTCACCGTGCCGAAGCCCCCACTGGGCTTGACATTCTCCTTTCAACGCTAGGTAGTTTCCCAAAGGCTCCTCGTAACCCTCCGATGGAACAAAACCCCCTATGCGCCTCGCAGTCGGTCGCCTCAACTTCTCAAGCTGATGCCGAGCCGACTTCTGCGCCTAGTCTCGGCCCATCGCTGGCTGATGCTTTTACCTGTGGTCCAGGTTCCTCCACCCCCGTGAAACCTGGCAGTTGACACCGGCAAACCACACCTGCTATCCCCCACTCGGCTCTCCCCTTCCTCTCCTCTCCTATCGGCTCTCCCCGTCCTCTCCTCTCTGCTCTCCCCTTCCTCTCGTCTCGTCTCGGCTCTCCCTTTCCTCTCTTCTCAGATCTCCCCTTCCTCTCCTCTGCGGCTCTCCCTTTCCTCTCCTCTCCTCTCTGATCTCCCCTTCCTCTCCTCTCGGCTCTCCCCTTTGTCTCTCCTCCCTTATACCCCTTATCTCACCTCCAAGTCGCGTCTGGCCTTTTCACCTCCCAGCTGCTACACCGCGGTGCGTGGTTTTTCGTTTTGTTCTTTAGACGTCGTTTCACGGTAATGTGGCGTAACGGCGCGCAGCTTGCTCTGGCGTTGGGGCTCGCCGCGTGCGTTGCTTGTTGGCGCGCTCACACATGTGTGGTTCGCAGGTGCAGCGCATGGGTATCCCACGTTCTCGTGTCGTGCCAGTATCCGCTCTCCCTCGGTGAGCGTCTCGCCTTTCTCATGGTTTTATTTTCTATCCTCCTTTTGTGCGCTACCCTAGCCGTCTCTTTTTCCCGGCATGTTAGTGCACCCTGGGACTATATCCTCACCTGTCTCCTGCCAGTTTTTGTTGCTTGCGGGCCATGAGCTGTACGGGCTCTAATGTGCGCTGTCCGCGTGGACTCACGTCGCGCTGCCCTCCCGCAGGCGTTTTCCGCAGCTGTCGAATTTACTGCACGCTCTGAAAATGTTGTCTCTCTTTGTATGCTGCTATTCCTGGTTCTACTGCTGTCTAATGTCGCTTAGTTGTGGGTAACATTGCCACTCTCTGCTGCAGAGTCGCGTGGTGGCATTGTACGCTCAGCAGAAGCCACCTTGCATTCAATTAGTTCCCTTCTGCCAGTGCAAGTGTTGCTGTTCTGAGCAGTTCTTACCCCTGTGTTTTGTTGCTTAGGGGGTGTTTCATGTAGGTTGAACAGCAAGACGTCGCAGTTCGACGTCAATTCACCACTTCTGAATAGGTCCAAAACTTCTCGATCGTGCAGAAACACATTGTACCTCGTCGGGACGTTGGGTGACCCTGTGTTTTTATAACACATGATACACGCCCTTACAGTGCTTGGTTGCTTCTGCATCGCCACTCTGCTGGGCCTGATGTTGGGTCCCCCCCCCCTCCCCCTTGTGTGTTGCCCGCCCCTTCTTCCCTGTTTCCGCTCATGTACTCCCCCTACTTTTTGTCTTTTTTGCACTTGGTTGTGCCATCGCGGAATTTCCATGTTCTTATTGGTTGTGTTGTTCCTGCGCTTCGTGTTCTCGTCGCGTGGTTCGCACAACCCTGACCTTCTCTCGCCATCTTGAGCCTGTGCTCCAAACGCTTGCTCGATGCCTTGCCCAACGTTTTGCCCTGTCAAGTTTATTAAAGCCGTTGACCCATAATGCAGATGAATCGGGAGAGTGTGAGTCGGGCTGCGAAGTAGAGCGAGCTTTTGACGAGAGTGTGAAAAGGGCACGATGCCGAGCGGAAAAAACGTGCAGGCAAAGTTGGGCAACCAGCGCAAAACACCCGTGGGAACATGCGTGGGAGCGAGGGACAAAGGAAGGGTTGCGCAGGGAAAACGAAAGACTAGCGGGGGACGAGAGGGGGAGCACAGCAGAAGTTTGTTTTTGCAAATTCTAATTGCATACTCGAAAGGTGGCGCAGGAGGAAACGGGGGGGGCAGCACAAACAAAAGTTGCAAATTGCATACTCAAAAGGGGGGACAAACAAAAACAAAAAAGTTGCGAAGTACAGACTCGAACGGGGCGCGGGGGGGGGGAGGGGGGGGGGGGGGTGGGAGATGCAAACAAAAGTTGCAAATTGCAGACTCAAAGCGGGACGGGGGGGAACGGGGGGGCGTGTGCAAACAAAAGTTGCAAATTGCAGACTCAAATGGAGGGCGGGGGAAAACGGGGGTGGGGGGGCGTGAATGTAGTGAAGTACACTTAAGAAGTCCCAAGTATCTCGGTTATTCAAGTTTGGGGGGGAACTCCCGCGTCCCTTGGTCGCCAAAACTCGCGCGAGACTGGTTTATCTGGAACCCGGCTACCCTATTTTCGCCCTTCAATATTATTAATCTTGAACGCAAAAGTATGCATGATGGGTCAACGGCTTTAATCTTGTACGTTTTGGGTCAGCGGCTTTAAGGTTAACGGTTCAATGTTTTATTCCAGCCCTAAACATTACACACAAGCATCAAGATTGTACATACTGTAGCTAAACTGCTAACATCCAAAAAGGATGTAAGGAATTTCCTTCCTTACTAAGTCGTACACTAGTGCGTACACACGAACTCCTCGACTCGTCACGTTCGGCCTCGTTTATCGGCCCAACCCTTTCCCGAGTCACGTACGGCACTGTCGCCACATTGCCGAACCAACCCACGTTCCGAGGTTATCGCCCTAGTACGCCAACCCCTATATAATCTCGTGCCTTTCATTGCAATAGCGACCTTGGATTCTCACGTTATAGTTCATTGACACTTTCTAAATCATAACAGCTGGTATCAGAGCCCGAGCGTTCCAGGAACCTTTCGTTTTCCCGTTTAATTAGTTAAGGGTGGTCAGAGGGGATTAGCACGGCTGCACAGCAGTTCTCTTGGATCGTAAATATTTTTACTTCAACAATTACAGCGTGTGCGCTAGCTTCTGCCCCGTCCTGACCGCCATGGCCCCGGTAGATTCGACGGCTGAGGAACAGTCCACCTCGACTGCTGCAAACCCTGCGGAGGAAACTGTGGACCTACAAACATTAATGGAGCAGTTGAATAATTTGACAAGCGTCGTCAATAGCCTCCACGACGAGAACCAACAACTTTGTCAGGCGCAGGACACGCGTTTGGAGGAGCCAGGCGACGATGCACGAAGCGAGGCGAGTGAGCAGCAACCATCGCCAGTAGAAATAGCACGACTAGCGGCAACAACCCTGCGCTCGACAAGTGGCGGCGTGAGATATCAGCAACCCGCTCCTTTCGACCCAGCTAATAAAGGCGTGACAGTGCGGCAGTGGATATTCGCCATGAATATCTATTTTAACGCGGCGGGCATCCGAGACAATCAGAAGCGGATCAGCCACGCGTTAACACTGTTGCAAGGGGCCGCCCTACAGTGGTGGAAGGTCATCGTCGACTCAGCGGCAACTCGCACAGAAGGACAGCACAAGTGGTCCGAAGAATTCGGCGATGAAGACGAGCCAGACTTGTTGTTCGGTGCAACCCACATTCGCACGTGGGCAACGTGGTGCGCAGAGCTTCGCAAGCGGTTTGAGCATGCTCCTGACTCACACAAGGCACGCGAGACTCTACGCATTTGGAAGCAGCTGGGATCTGTGTCCGAGTACACGGCGTCATTCTTGACGTTAGTGGACAGATGTGGCTACATGCACGAGTTGGAGAAGGTCGACAGGTACATGGGCGGTTTGAAGCCTGAAATACAGTACCGGATAAAACTGCAACACCCTGCGAAGCGGTTACAAGACTACATCTAGCTCGCCGAAGCCGCTGATTCGCTTACGAAGCCGAGGATGAACTTCTACGACGGAGGTCGCCCTCGAGAACAGTACCAGTGCACCACGATAAAAGGGGTGGATGCATCTGCTATTTACGCAGCTGCTCCGCGAAATACGGGGCTATGCTACCACAGTGGCCAACCGGGTCACATCCGACGCAACTGCCAAGAATTCATAGCCCTCCAGAATTCTATGGGGTAGAAGCCGGAGGAGCGACCGGGAAATGGGTCGCGTCAGTAAGTACCGGGCCCCTTACTGACGGGCAGGCTCCTTCGCCCGAGCCACACAGTCCCCACCGGGTCATGATCCCGATTGCTGCAATCGACCGGACCCGGACGAATAAGGGGGATGAAACTGCTGATCACCCTGTGTTGTTGGATGGTAAATTCAACGGAGTGTTATTGAAGATTTTCGTTGATGGAGGCGCGAGTCATAGACTCATACAGCTGGACAGGGCTAAGTAATTGGGTATACCCTTACTCAAGTGTCTACCCGAAATTGACTCCGACTAGTCGATGGAACACCGCTGGCAATACGGGAACGAGTGGAGAACATCGGTTTTCATTGCGGGGAGCATGTAAATTTTCGGATGGGACTGCTGGCGACTACTCTCAACGTGTGCGATGTGCTACTGGGACGTGATTGGTTGCGATGGTACAACCCGAAGATTGAATGGACGACGGCGGCTGCAGCATAAAGCTCGATGGGATCTCCCGCGAGGTACCAAAATGGACGGGGCCTCGCATGCGAAGCACCCAAGTCCATGCGATCACTTTCAAGCGCGTGATAAAAGCGGGAGCTGCAGCGTACGCCATTGATCTTCGCGAGGTGACGTTGACGACCACGGCCGAAGATATCGCGAAGCTATGCGAAGCCGTTCCTCTGGACTTAGCAGACCTGATTTGGAAATACCCCTAGATTTTCCCGGACGACTTGCCAACTGGACTTCCGCCGAGCCGACCAGAAGACCATCGCATCGAACTGGAACCAGGCGCCCAACCGACGGTACAGCGACAATTTCGGCTCAGCCAACCAGAACAGGAAGAATTGCAGCAGCAGCTGGATAACCTTCTGACGAAGGGATTTATCCGGCCCAGCACGTCCCCATACACCGCCCCGATACTGTTCACGCCGAAGAAGGATGGCGGATTCAGAATGTGCATCAATTACCGCGTGCTCAACAGGATCACAATCAAGTCGCGTTACCCGATCCCGCGAGCCAACAAACTCCTCGACCAACTTCGCGGCGCCAAGTTCTTCTCGAAAATCGATTTGCAAGGGGTTACCATCAGATTCGCGTCGTTGTCGAGGATTGTCACAAGACGGCATTTCGAACCCGCTACGGCAGCTACGAGTACCTGGTGATGCCTTTTGGCCTCACGAACGCGCCCTCGGCCTTCCTGATGACCATGAACGGAATTTTCATGGAACTCTTGGACAAATGCGTCATTATTTACCTCGACAATATACTACTCTACAGTCGCAGCAGGGAGCAGCACTTACAGGATCTTGATAAAGTCTTCATGCTGCTGCACAAGAATCGCCTCATCACGAAAGGGTCTAAGTGCGACTTTCTTAAGCAGGAGTTGGAGTTTTTGGGCCACATCGTCTCAACCAAAGGAGTGAAAATCAACCCCAAGAAAATCAAGACCACACAGGAGTGGAAGCCGCCCAGCAACATAAAGGAGCTGCAAAGTTTTTTGGGTTTCGTCAACTACGTCCGCCAGTTTATCCCAAATATGGCTGAGTAATCTACCCCGCTAACTGACCGACTTAAGGATCACGATTGTTTCTGGTGGGGAGAGAAGCAGCAAGTTGCATTCGACCAACTGAAGATCGCCCTCACGTCGCCGCCCGTCCTTCGCATCTCCGATCCTGACCGTCCATACGAAGTCATCACCGACGCCAGCGACATCGCCATCGGTGCAGTTCTCCTACAGGATTTCGGCAACGGTTTACAGCCGGTCGCCTACGAATCACGGAAGTTGCAGGGCGTAGAAAAAAACTATACGGTACACGACAAGGAAATGCTGGCGATCGTCCACGCGTTCAAGACCTGGCGATGCTACCTGAGAGGCGCTGACGTCATTGTGCAGACCGACCACAAATGCCTCCAGTACCTGCGAGCCCAACCGAATCTCAACCCGCGACAAATCTGATGGCTCGATTTCCTTGAGTCGAATTTCCACTGCAACCTACAAACGGGGCGCCAACAACATTGCCGATGCCCTGACTCGACCCACTGCCCATACAGCCGCCATACTAGTCGCCCAGACCAGCCCACTGCTTACCGAACAATTTACCCACGGCTACAAAATCGACTCCTTCTTCCGCTCTGTTATTCATCAACAGCATACCATCGCCACTGGATGCTATTTTAATAAGCGCGACACTTCCCACATCTAGGTGCCCGGCTACGATTTACTTCATACCCTTCTAATCCTACCTTCGGGCATTTCGGAGTCGACAGAACTCTGAAGATGTTGCGGCGCAATTATTACTGGCCGAACATGGCCGACGACGTGCGCAAGTACGTGTCCTCCTGCACCGCCTGCTAGATAATGAAATCATCCCATCAGCGAGCAGCCGGACTACTACAGCCGTTGGATCCGGCCGAGCGACCCTGGCAACACATCACGATGGACTACGTGACTGGGGGGTGCCGGCCGGTCCCAGCGGAAACGACACCATCCTCGTGAACGTTGACCGACTCACGAAAATGGCGCACTTTATCGCCTGCCAACACAAAATTACAGCTGAGCAAACTGCCCAACTGTTCATCGCCAACGCCATCAGACTGCACGGACTGCTTACCGCCATTATTACAGACCGAGACCCGAAATTCACATCGAATTTCTGGCGCCACCTGTGGGACGAATCCGGCACCAAACCACAGTTTTCCTCCGCCTACCACCCACAGACCGACGGGCAGACCAAACGAGTCAACCAAACTATGGAGCAACTCATTCGAACTACCTGTACTGACCCACAGACATGGGAGAAATCCCTTCCGCTGCTTTAATTCGTGTACAATAACGCACCCTCCGCCACAACCCAGCAATCCCCATTCTTCCTCAATTACGGACAGGACCCAGTGGTACCCTCTACCCCAAACATCGAGACACCCGTGCCCCGGTCCGAGAAATTCGCCGAAGACATCCTCGCCGCCCGAGACAAAGCAGCTGAAGCAATCAGGAAAGCCAACCGGGTCGCAAGCCGACAAGCCGATCGTCATCGACGTGACGTCACTTACAAAGTGGGAGATCTCGTACTACTCGACACTCGCAATTTGCGTCTCCCGATCCCGAGCAAGCTCCGACCCAGATTTTGTGGCCCTTTTCTAGTGACCAATATGATGACACCTGTCACTGCTCACCTCCGACTCCCGGCTGACTGGCGTCACCACCCGGTTTTCCACGTCAACCTCCTACGGCCCTACATCCCCAGTTCGTCGGAGTTGGCACGCCATCGCAGTGTACCGCAGCTGACGCCCCTGCAGGAACCGACGACCGAGCCCTTGAAAATTCTCGGCCATCGAGTCACGACGCAGCTGAACCGTCGGATGGTGGATTTCCTCGTCAGATGGCGCGATCGCACGTCAGAAGATGACAGCTGGGTGCCCCGCGCTGAGATAGAATCACACCTGATTCTAACAGCGTATTATCAGCGTCAGAATGTTTCCGATGCCTGCGGTCTCGTTTAGGAGAGGGGGGTAGTGTAAGGAATTTCCATTCCTTGCTGAGTCGTACGCTAGCGCGTACACCCGAACTCCTCGACTCGTCACGTTCGGCCTCGTTTATCGGCCCAACCCTTTCCCGAGTCGCGTCCGGCACTGTCGCTACATTGCCGAACCAACCCACGTTCCGAGGTAATCGCCCTAGTACGCCAACCCCTAAATAACCTCGTGCCTTTCATTGGAATAGCGATATTGGATTCTCACGTTATAGTTAAAACCATAGGCCAAAAAAGCAAGGGGGGGGCTTCAAGAGCGCCCCTCTTGAACATGGGTCACCATTGAAAATAAGGGTTCAGTGGGCGAAACTGAGGGGACAATTTTGGGACAGCTGGGCAGATACGAACAGACCACATTGCGCACCTAGGGGAGGTTGGGCGAAAACTGGGATGCGTGCGACAAGGGAGCCAAGGCCATACGCGACCACCACCCAATTGCCGAGATGGAAAAGAAGTTGCAACCAGGGCGTGTTTGTTCAAGAAAATTGCACCTAGAAGGCCTTCTTGAAGGCCAGGGAACATGACGTCGCGTCGAAACATGCATAGAAAGTCAGTAGGCAACTCAAACTGGTCTCAAGTAAGAACACACTCCAACATGAAACTTCTAGCCCTTATAAATTCGTGCAACTTACGACTTGGAAACTAAACGATGTACTCTCACATTGCTACTAAAGATACAAATATAAATTGCAACATCGCAACAAACATGTAGTTGCCACGCCCATTCTAGCATGCAAACAAACTATGTATACTTCTTCCACTGGATAGCATTATCAAATATTGATACTATGAATGGGAGGCAAACAGAAAAGGGCCTTATCCTGGTGGAAACGAAAAAAAGGCAATCCACACCCTTGTCTTCCAATGTTCCAAAACTACCCTCGGATGCATAGATGCGGCGGGTGAGCATAGGGACACGAAAGAGCACCTGACCTGCGAAAAAGGCAAGAGTGAGGGAAGGAGAGAGCGGAACAGGTGAGAGTGAGGGAAGGAGAGAGCGGAACAGGTGAAGGGGTTGATGGGAGCTGAGGGGATGGTGGGAACTGAGGGGATGATGGGAGCCTGAGGGGATGGTGGGAGCTGAGGGGATGATGAGAGCCTGAGGGGATGATGGGAGCTGAGGGGATGATGGGAGCCTGAGGAGATGGTGGGAGCTAAGGGGATGGTGGGAGCTGAGGGGATGGTGGGAGCTAAGGGGATGGTGGGAGCTGAGGTGATGATGGGAGCCTCAGGGGATGATGGGAGCATGAGGGGATGATGGGAGCCTGAGGGGATGATGGGAGCATGAGGGGATGATGGGAGCCTGAGTGGATGGTGGGAGCTGAGGGGATGATGGGAGCTGAGGGGATGATGGGAGCCTGAGGGGATGATGGGAGCCTGAGGAGATGGTGGGAGCTGAGGGGATGGTGGGAGCTGAGGGGATGATGGGAGCTGAGGGGATGATGGGAGCCTGAGGAGATGATGGGAGCTGAGGGGATGATGGGAGCCTGAGGGGATGATGGGAGCGTGAGGGGATGGTGGAAGCTGAGGGGGTGATGGGAGCCTGAGGAGATGGTGGGAGCTAAGGGGATGGTGGGAGCTGAGGGGATGGTGGGAGCTGAGGGGATGATGGGAGCCTCAGGGGATGATGGGAGCCTGAGGGGATGATGGGAGCCTGAGTGGATTGTGGGAGCTGAGGGGATGATGGGAGCTGAGGGGATGATGGGAGCTGAGGGGATGATGGGAGCCTGAGGAGATGGTGGGAGCTGAAGGGATGGTGGGAGCTGAGGGGATGATGGGAGCCTGCGGAGATGATGGGAGCTAAGGGGATGGTGGGAGCTAGAGGGGAAGGGAGACGGGGACGGAATCCAGAGACACGACGGCTGTCAGGAGGGGATAGATAGAAGGGAGGGACGGGCGCACGCACAGGGACGGGCGAGAGGGGAAGGATGGGCGGCAGGGGAGGGACAGGCGAGTGGGGAGGGACACGCGAGAGGGGAGGGACGGGCAGCAGGGGAGGATGGGCGAGAGGGGAGGGACGAGCGGCAGACATGGGAATCTGACTCGGGAATTTGACATGGGACTCTGACCTGAGAATCTGACCTGGGGATCTAACTTGGGAATCTGACTTGAGAATCTGAGTTAGAAATCTGACTTGGGAAGCAGATTCAGGAATCTGCCCGCCCTCTCATTAGCCCTCGCTCACCATCTCCCCCATCTCTCCCCGCCCTCTGTTACCCCACTTCTCTTCCTCTCTCCCCCTCTCTCTATGCACTCTCCTCCCTCTCTCCGCGCCCTCGGTTACCCCTCTCTTCTTCCTCTCTCCCCCTCTCTCTATGCACAGTCCTCCCGCTCTCCTCGCTCTCGCCCACACCGTTCACCCTCGCCCACACTGTTCACCCTCTCCACACCGTTCACCCTCTCCCACACCGTTCACCCTCTCCACACCCCCATCCTCACGCGGCTCCGTCCCTCCCTCACCTTGCCATCCGTTCATTCTCTGCTCGTCATCCTTTCCCCCTCCCCTCGCCATCCGTCCCCCCTTTTCGCACCATCCGCTCCCCCTCACCCCTGTCAGTTCCCTCTATCCTCGCCGTCCTTTCTCGCTCTTCGCGCCATCCGTTCCCCCTATCCTCGCCATCCCTTCTCCCTCACCTCGCCATCCGTTCCCCCTCGCGTCGCCTCCCCCTCACCCCTGTCCGTTCCCCTTAGCCTCGCCGTCCGTTCCCCCTCTCCACGCCATCCGCTACCCCTCACCCCTGTCCTTTCCCCCCATCCTCACCGTCCGTTCTCCCTATCATCGCCGCCCGTTCCCTCTCTCCTCGCCATCCGGCCCCCCTCATTTCGCCATCCGTTTCCCCCTTTCCTTCCTATGCGTCCCCCGATCTCGTCGCTATCCGTGGCCCCCCGTGCCGCTTTAACGCCGGCTATATACATGCGTTTCATCACGGGGCCTAATGGCAGGTCTTACCCTAGATTCGCGTCGCAAACTACGGCTTCCTTGGCTCGTTTACGCTGGTTTTAGCTTGTCCCTCTGTGTGCTGCGGTATGACACATATGGAGGTCGCCTACTCGGAGAATAAATCCGTCTCCCCGTAGTGGTATGAGTTGGTCGTCGATGCGCGGGGCGGTTTTTTTTATCTGATCTGTGCTGTGGCAACTATGGGTTCCTAAGCTTGTGTGACTACGAGATTATCTCCTCTGTTGGAAATATCTCAAAGAACTTAAGCGTTTCTGAAGTGTAACACTACACTCGAGGAAGACTACAAGGGAGCACGCGAGTCAACGGAGGTTACACGAGGGGGCGGACAAAGAATGCGAAAGGTCGCAACTGGAGGTTGCGACTGACCGTTACAGCATCATGGATGGTAACCGAAGTAGCAATCGAGTCGCTGTGCGACTCGATAAACCGTTCCTGTAACTGTACTCTACAACTGCTTTCTTATCTTCTATATATTGCTGTATGCTTGTTTCCTTAATCAATCACTTGTTCTCACATACTAGTACAAGGGTTCAACTGCCTCAACTTCCGCTGCACTACTCCAAGTCTCAAGTCTCTACAAGCTGGGACTTAGTCTCTGCAAAAGATCCTAAGGCCTTTTTTTTAGCCCAACATGGTATGAGAGCTGGTCAGAGACCAAACTCCCAGCAACTACGCTCCATCAACAACCTGCAACTCAACTCAATTCAACGACTTCATTGATTACAAGACATGGACAGCAAGGGCAAGAAAGTCTCTACGGGCTCACCCAGCGCCCAAGAAACTCAACACGGCAACTCTGGTCTGCACACCTCAGGACTGCAGACAGAGACCGGGACTGCTCAAGAAACAACGGGAAGAGCACCGGAGATGGTGACTCCGTCTCCCTCTTCAAGTGTGGACCCGAATCTCATGGAGAGATTCTTCAGCTTCATGTCACACTTCGACCAGCAGCAGCAGACAAGGACACCTGCGCACTCAACACAGAGCAATGGAGGGAATATGGGATTAGCGCCGATGAGCCTCGACAACTCATCCTTCGGGCGACACAATCAAGCACCTACTTTTGCGCCTTATCACTCTTCACCGGGGACGTTCGAGTTCATGCCGCCCCGTGCCCAGCCAACAGCAGCTGCATCACAACAAACACCGAACGAAATCTTAAGTCTTCAGGCACAGTTCTCACACGTAATTAAACTTCAGACATCCTCACCGTTCAACGGACACGACTTCTTTACCTGGAGCTTCGAGTTTGAGCTGCTGATGGAGGCCGCGCATCTTCTGGGATACTTCAACGGGTCCCTGCCATTCCCAAGCAACGGCACTGGGAAGGAACAAGAAATCTTCACGTATCAGTCGC